AGAATGATGAGAGCAATGAATGTACAAATGTGCTTTACACAATTGATGTGTGTATGGATTGTGATAAGAGTTGTGTGAGCCCCTAATAAAATGATTAAAAAAATAAAAAATAAAACTCTGGGTGCTTTTCTTTCTAATAGTAGAGCACCATCTGATTTCTTCACTACACTTTTCATAGCACTCATATCTTCAGTGATCACTTCATATGGGCAAGTATGGATCAGGGCTACATCGTATATATACATATATATATCTACTTTATAGGCAGCATTATCAGGTTCTTGAAAAATAATATGTGTGGCACATGGGGGGCATCTAGTAAGTCTATTAATAATATCCTTAAACTAGCTAATAGTATAGAATTCCCCAAAATAGTGTGAAATAGAACATGTATATGTATAGGAAAGCTTACTAGACTAAAATACATGGAACTTTCACTTATACAGGTTAAAAATGTAAGTGATGAACACTGCTTAAGAGACAATGGAGGGGGCAGAAGGAGGGAGGGAAAAAAAGAGGAGCTGATCCCAATGGCTGAATGGAAAGTAAATGTCTAGAAAAGATCGATGGAATATATGTACGAATATGTCAGATACAACTGATGTATGGATGGTAACAAGAGTTGCAAGAGGCCCCAATACAATGATTTTTTAAAAAGAGAGTCAATGGAGGTCAGACACAAGGCAAAAATTTCAATAACATTCATTCACTAAAGGAAACCTATGCCTGCAGAACTAATACATGCCACACGGAGCAGAGAAAACATGGAAATTGGTCTTAGGTTGTCAATTCTTGAACAATCTAAAAATTCTTTTAAATGTTCTCTGAGTTCAGGGAACAAAAGAAAGTCTGCAGGGGCAAGATTGATGCTATAGGCTGGAAGAGACAAGCTTTCCCAACAAACCATCACAGGCCAGCCCTGGCTGCCTTAGCCTTGAAGCATGAGCAGGTGCACTGTTCTTATGGGGGAAAAATTCCTCAGTGCAACTTTCTTGTCCTTTTCCTCACCTTTTCAGTTTTCACTTTTCAGAAAACTTATTTCTAATAAGTCCCTGTGTCCTTTGAGAAAAATCTATCAAGATTATCTCTTCAGAATCCCCCAAATAGTAGTCATAACCTTCTGAAATGACCCATATCCCTTGAATTTAACTGGCTCAGCAGATCCCCTAGGAAGCCATTGTTTTGACTGACTTTTTTAAAGCATCCTAATGAGATGA